CGTGTGTGTGTATGCGTGTGTGAGTGTGTGTGTGTGTGTGTGTCTGTGTGTGTCTGTATGTGTGTGTGTACAATATATAACATGCGATTTGTTTAAAAGCGACAGTTAATTCATGCTCCTGCAAACCACCTCCTATCAGTATTACACAGTACTACAAAGCTCACTATCCCCTACCTCGGATGCAGTCAGCATATCAGCGTGTGTTTCAATTGCCTCCAGAGCACTACACCGCCAACACCAATAGTCTGATATCACTTGTGGCTCGAAGTATGTGGAGAGACAGGCTCTCAGCGATACACTTGCCGTATCGACAGGTAGTGGTAAGCTGTAGGTGGCACGTCGGAGGGTGAGAAAGGAGTAATACTTCACCTATACCATTGTATGTGGTGTTGATCGCCTTCGAATCAAGACTCGAGAGGCAAGACCTACTATCAGTCGCATACACGGTGTACCTAAGACCAGCAGTAAGCTGTTGTGAGTAGTATATGTAACGAAGGACTGTTGAGTGTACTCTGGCCTTGTACTTGGATGCCAGGATAAATCAGGGGAGAAGCATAGTGGGACCATTCCTTCGAACTGACTAACATCTGCGGATGATACATACGTTGAAAATGATGCAAGCTTTGCTATTCCGGTGATCTTGTTGAATGATTGGTCAATAGACCAGTTGAACAGCATGGAGACAATCATATATATATATATATATATATATATAATAGACACGACAATACGCTGGACCGGCCAATTTATATCTAAAAATAAACACAGTACGAAGCATGCCGATATAAGTAGAAGGCATTTACTACACAGAAACTCCTCGCAAGCCTGTGATTCTGACGAGCTTACCTAATTAATCATACTACGAGCACCATCACACACCATCATGATACGCTTATGTTGACATATGCACTCATAAAACGATCTCATCTAATGCATCTGTCATGTGGTCATCATATGTTGACATATGCACACACAAAAAGATGCAATACAAACACATCTATTACATATCATGTCATGTGTATGTTCATGTCATATGTATGTTGACATGCATACAAAAAACGATACAATACAACTCACCTTTGTCATGTGCAAAGCATGGCTTCCACATACACAGCCCTCGCCTCCAAGAAAAATATTATAAAATGCACACTGACATTGACAATGTGTACATCAACTAGATATCATGAACTAGTACACGCAAGGAATACCACGCTTATGTAATATGTATATACCCTACGCCTATTTAATATGTATATACCCTACGCCTATGTAATATGTATATACCCTACGCCTATGTAATATATATATACCGTACGCCTATGTAATATTTCTATACCCTACGCCTATGTAATACGATTATCCCTGTGTGTGAACTCACCGCAAATACCTGAAACGCTATACTCTGATCTTGATGTACTAGACACTATAGACCAGTACAAATGAGATATCTTTTAATTATATAATGTATTTATATACACCCATGCATGCACTCCCCTCTAATCTCTGAATAGAGCCGCTCTGACCTTAAATTCACCAGATACCATACACTAGTACAAATAAGAAATGCTCTGCCTACATACTTTATATGTATACACCCATGCAAGCACTCACCTCAAAGCCCTTAATGGAGCCACTCTTACCTTAATTCGTTTAGACACTATAGACTAGTACAAATGAGCATTACTATGCCTATATAACAGGTATACACCCATGCAAGCACTCCCCTCAAATCCCTTAATGGAGCCACTCTTACCTTAATTCTTCTAGACACTATAGACTATATATAGACTAGTACAAATGAGAATTACTATGCAAATATAACATGTATACACTCATGCAAGCACTCGCCTCAAATCTCTTAATGGAGCCACTCTTACCTTAATTTTTCTAGACACTTTAGACTATATAGACTAGTACAAATGAGAATTACTATGCATATATAACATGTATACACCCATGCAGGCACTCACCTCAAATCCCTTAATGGTGCCACTCTTACCTTCATTTTTCTAGACACTGTAGACTAGTACAAATGAGCATTACTATGCCTATATAACATGTATACACCCATGCAAGCACTCACCTCAAATCTCTGAAGGGGTCCACTCTGATCTGGAACTGCCCACCACACATCTGGCACGCCAGATGTGAGGCCAACAACCCCATCATGGCTGAATCTTGTTCCTTTTGACCCTTCGCAAACGCACCGGCCCGTGCTTGCAATCCAGGGCACACCCCATTCAAACTTTCGGGCCTCAACTGTCCCCTAAACTCCCTCACACTCTCTCCGTGCACCCTCGTTTCCGCATTTCCGGGCCTCGAATGTCCTAAAACCAGCCGCAAGCCATCTCCCAACACCTCCTTGCGCACATTGCTGGCCCCTCTTTCGGCGTCCAGCCTATCCAGCAGTACTAAGAACAGCTCGTGCGCATCCTGCTGCGTACCTTGTACCAGGCGAGCGTTGCTGTGTATGGCATTGGCCACGTGGGTAGATACGTGCACGTGGTGTCTGGAGCGTCTCTCGTTGATGGACGCGCACAGAGTGTATAGGGATTGGGCTAGGGGTGTTGTGGTGTTGAGGGGGTGTAGGCTGAGCAGGAAGTGGTCACTGGATGATATCGCCTTTGTGGAATGGGGATGGTAAGGAAGTGAATAGGAGTGCTCGGTAGTCGGATTGTATCAAACGAACGTTTATATCGCCTATGTAGAATGGGGATGGTATGGAAGTTAATAGGAGTGCTCGTTTCTCGGATTGTATCAAACGAACGTCTATAATTTAGAACTGTCGCCCCGTTAATGGTGGGGAATAGAGGCTGTAAGGCGTTTGTTAAGGACAACAATGGTATTTATGGGGAGTACACTCTGTAGGAAGCGTGTTACGTCCATGTACAATGAGATTTATAATAGAGAGCACAAACATATATGTGCCCATACAAAATAAATGTACGTACACACACTTTCGCTCCTAATATATTACAAGCCTGTAATGTGGCATTGTTAGTTGCTCGTGCATATCAGTATAGTA